GCATATGGTAGGGAAAAATATAAGTTCTAATGTGACAATTAACCCCCTCCTTTAATTAAACGTTACACGTTTAAATAAAAACATACTGGAGCATTAGAATTTATAAGAATAAAAGAATAATAATATCAATAAACCAGAATAATATCAATAAACCAGAATAACAAAAACTAATGGTTTACTTCTACTATATACAACTATTTACACACCTCCACAATACTTTCGGAATTGTGATCCGAGGTGGGTTTAGGGCGGTAGAGGACAACCAAACCTCACTCCAGAACTACTAGTTCTGTCCCCTCACCACAGTCGACATTTATCACCTAACTTCCGCCCATGGATACATCCCGTTTTCATTACTTCATTAGTTCTACTTAAATAATCAGCACCTACATTATCAGTTCCTTTAATCACTTTAATTCGGAATCGATATGGCTGCAACGCGAGTGCCCACCTCATTATCCTCCCATTCGCAACTTTGGATTTACGGATACATGTTAGAGGTTGATGGTCGGTTTCAATACAAAATTCCTTACCGTATAAGTATGGTTCAAACCTTTGAACAGCCCATACTACCGCTAAGCACTCTCGTTCCATTACTGAATATTTCTGTTGACATTTATTCAATTTTTTACTTGCATAAGCTACTGGGAACTTTTCACAAAGACCATACACATGGCATGATAAGGGGTTGTAGTCATACTATGAATTGAAAGTAATCTATTTACTTCTTTCATTATACCTGAAATGAATTGAGATCCTTGATCAGTTAAGACTTCCTTTGGAAAACCTAACCTAGAATACATGGATAGTAGTTCTTCAGCAACGGCTTCAGCTCCTATTGTAGTCATAGGTGCTGCTTCTGGATATCTTGTAGCATAGTCTACAAGTACTAAGATATAGCGATGGCCTCTTTCAGTTGCTGGCTTAAGGGGTCCGACTATATCTACCGCTACTCTTTGAAATGGTTCATCAATTAAAGGAAAATTACCTAATGGGACTTCCTACCTTTAGGAATGGTTCTTTGACGTATGTCACATGATTGACAATTCCTGGTCACGTCGGCTAACATTCCAGGCCATGTAAAGTTACTCATTACCTTGTCCCTGGTTTTCTTGGATCCCTGGTGACCACCTAGAATAGATTCATGAGCTATCCTTAAGACATGTTCTCTGTAATCCTTTGGAACTACTACTTGCTTAAATGTATTCCCAAATTCTATCTTTGGAGAATTGAATTCCCTATAGATAATGCCATTGGATTTAACATACCTGTGGGTACTTCCGTTTTTACTTATTTTCTGCTCACCACTTTCAGCCAATTGTCTAACTTTCCTAAGCGTTGGATCGTCAATTTGCTTAAGGCGTAATATATCTGCAGTGACTTCACTAATAGGAGAAACAACCTTTAATTGCTTTAATGGTTTATCTTTTAGTTTGGTTTGACTTCTTGTCTGAACGGCAGCTTGGATAATTGGATCGGATTGTAGAGGAATTGATTCATTCGAATCGATTACCTTACAGTTAGTGTCCGGTTCATCAATTTGAGTCTTTCCCCAACTTAAGTCTGGGTCAGTCGGTTCTTTAACCCCTGAAATATTTCCTAGTATTAGGTCATATACTGGATTATCCATGCACACAGCTGAAACATGACCTACAAAATATGGAGTATCTATAACTATAGAAGCTGTGGGAAATCGTCTTACCGTACCATCAATTAGAATGCAGGTTTTGAAATCTCCAGTCATCTGGTTTGGTTCTACATGTTTGGTTTTAACAACTACACCACTGCATCCACTATCACGAAGGACTTGTATCATGTGCTTACCAATTTTACCCTGTGTTACTGGCATACTGCTATCATAATGTTTGCATGCAGCTGTAACTTGATTAAGAACAGTTAATTTATGACCACAATCTAATGTCTGTCTCTTATACACATCTCCATCATTCTTGATAGGTATACCTGTTTACGATACTCTACGCTTCATCATTGGTTTCTACTTGAAAAATTCCATACAATAGCACAGTAGCTCCCAAATATTAGGTTGAAAGTTAGGTGACACT